CAAACAGAAGCTTCTTGCACTTTGAGGGTCCTTTATGGTTAATTTCCCCCATATCAGTCTTCTCATTCAGGATTGGGGTATCATCTCTTGCCTCCAGTTAGCCAGTGAGGCTGCTTACAGACATAAAAAAAACAAAATAAGATGATACTTTATTTTAAACTCCGCGCAGCCCTGCACCAAGCCCAGCACATGCCCAAAAGAGTGATTGCGCTAATTTAACTCGGCTCACCCAACGTCTGTATAGATTGGGCATTTCAATGTGGCTTTTTTGGTGCTTTTATTTAACAGCTGATTGACTCAACTATTAGATAAAAGTACCAAAAAGCCATGCTGAAGCACGCAGTCTGTACAGATGTTGCAGAGCCAGGTCAAACTAACATTATGCTGCTTCTGATAAAGTGCAGTTTGTTTGGTTTTTTTCACGTCCGTCAACAGCCTAAAGTTAACATCCATCATCCAGCTGCTAAATTGTCAAGCAGCTATCTTCATGCTTTCTTCAGTGCTGCATGAGTTACTCATGTTTGCTTCAAATTCTTCCTTATTACTCTTTTTCTATGATACCTGCCAAAAAAAAAAAACCTTGGCAAAGATTAGGCAGCTTGTATGTTGACACAGCAGTTGACAACCAGACTGTCATACTGTTTGATGTTGTCTTGTTATTTCCTTGTACTTCCCTATTTGTCTTTCTCCATCTGTTATCTATTAGAGGGCAACCTATGGCCCTCAGCCTGGATCATTGTTTCATTGCTGATCCTGTTTCTATAGTGCTAGCAAAATGGTGTCTTCATTCAAGGTGTACTAGACATGCAATAGGAAGAGTAATAAATGTAATAATAATATGAATTGAACAGATTTTTATAACCTAATTTCAAATTGGCTTTATTCCTTGCAGTTTTGTGAAATAATAAGTAGTAATTTAAAGTAATTCTTAAATATTCCGTAACAGATGCATCATTAGATGTTGCCTGCATTTTATAATCAAATATCTCATGACTTGGTAGTGCTAGAAATTCTCTAGGAAGCTAGTTTTTCATGCACTAGTGATCAGTGATTAGGAAGAGAACTTTTTTTAGAATAACTTCTTTCTAGCCACGGTTATTTTAAAGGTTTGTTAGGTTTACTAGTTTTATATAACAACATAATCTTTTTAATAGCAAGTACATGCCAAATTTTTAGGTTTTTTGGCACCAGATTATCTTGGTCTGTTTCTTGTCTTCTGTAGCATTCCTCAGGAATGCTTGGAGAATGCTAGTTAATGTTAGCCTTAGGCCCACACTTAAGCCCAAACTGGCCAAGCCTCTATATTGAAAAACCCCTAAGCTGTAGCCCAGCAAGACACCGGAAGTTTTGCTGAATTTAAAGATGTGGGGTTAAGCCAGCCTTTCCCTGTAGTATATTTTGATCTTACCCAGGTGCTGCAGGCCACATACACCAGCCTGTTGTCCACGTTAAATCCCTTAAGGCTAGGGACAGATACACAAAGAGCCAGAGCCTGAATTGATTCAATCTTTGCAGGTTAATCTGACCTGCCTAGAGTGGACCAATTTGCAGGTGAGCAGACGTTCAGGAAATGGAGGCACATGCCTGCAGTGGCTCCGGCCAGAAGCCAGGGGGCACTAGAGTGTGCCCTGAGCTACAGGGAAGCTGTCCTGAGGGGGGAGCAGCATGGCCAGCCTCTGCAGTAGCCTCAAGTGAACTGGCCAGGGAGTGGGTTTAATTCCCCAGTAATTGTACCACCGGCACAGACCCGAGCTGGAGTCTGCCTGGTGCTTCTCCCTCGCTGTTTTAGTGGCAGAGTTGTGGCCAGAGGCCAGTCAGCATAGCTCCCTCCCACCCACAGTGCAGCCCCCTAACTGGGAAGAGGTTTGTGCTCCCTGGGAAACCATGACAGTGGCTACCACCCCCATCAGGGTCCCTGTGCCCTTGTTGCTCCAGCGGCAGCAGCAGGGGCGGGGGCACGGCCAGAGGCTGATTGCCATGGCCCCCTTAGGAGGGGTTATTTTCCCCCTCTCTCTGACGTCTGGCGGAGGGGGCAGGGAAAGAGTTTATCCTGCCACTCATGCTGCACAGGGAAAGATCTGCACAGGGAAACCCTCTGCCTCAGGGGTTATGCTGGCTGGCCTCTGGCCACGCCCCCACCCCTACCACTGCAGCAGCGAGGGGGAGCACCAGGCAGACCCTGATTCTGGTCCATGCCAGTGGGACTGTGGGGGTGAATTAAACCTTTCCCTGACCAGTTCACTTGAGGCTACTGCTGGTGCTGGCCACACCCCTGCCCCTGGAGCAGTGAGTAGAGAAATACCTGGCAGGTCCATGCTGGTGGGACAGGGGAAGGTGAGGGGAATAAATCTCCCCCCTGCCCCCCTTGTCTTGGGGGCGGGGTCTGGCCACGCCCCTACCCCTCCTCCGGCTACAAAGTAGAGGGGCGGAGCCAGTCCTGCTCTGCAGAGAGCACAGCTCCGCCCAGGGCAGCAGAGCATGCTGGGATGCTGGGGGACTCTGGTTTAACCTAAACCAGGAAGGGCTCTGGGACACAAGTTCTATAAACCGGTTTGAGCTCAATCAATTAAGTCTGATACTACATTCAACCAAGTTTATCTCAAACTGGTTTTGGCCATTTTGAAACTGGTTTATGTGCACTGAATGTCTGTTCTGTTACAGGTTTAAACCAGTTTCTGATCACTTACATTGGTTTATGTGCAACTTCTGTCCCTAGCCTAAATGTCCCTGTGGACATCTCTATTTAGAACCAAGTACAGAAAGAGTGACAGGCATTGGTGAAAAGAAAGAGCATTATACACAACACAGTTCTCCAGATCTCTTAAGTATTTCATACAGGCCTAGTTTTAAAAAGACATAGGTTTTTCTCCTTGCTCTGTATGTTACTTGACTATTAGTATTATGAATAAATATGACAAGTTATCAATTCCAAAGCTAATATTTCAACATGCTGCAAAAAATCCATGCACGGTTAGATGTTACTTTAATGCTGTTGTTGTGGAAAATAGCATTAATAGAGGGAAAATGCCTTAGGAAGCAGCACTATTGGAGTTATATAATCATACCAAATGCTGCTCACTGGTTCCATGAAAAATGAAACATTGCATGGTCAAAGAAAAGCAACTCACAGCAGTGTCAGTCTGTTCAGAGGTTGGCACCAGAAAACTATTGACTAATGTGATGTCAAAATACTACAGGATACTCGGTTCAAATAACATATTTATCACTTAACCTCTAAAAACTGGGCAAAACAACTTAATCCCAACCCATAACCTTAATTCTGCAATGTATGACTGATGCTCCAACCAGTACACACTGCATAAAAAGATGATGATTTTATTTCTTGTGGCTGCTTATTTTAGCACACCAGTGACTGAAATATACTGTATTTTCTCACATACATTATGCAACACTCCCCCCCCCCCCCA